TGGCGCCAAAGTCCTGATCAGAGGAAAACGATACAGGAATGGACCAAAGAGATGGTTCAGGCTGGCATCATTCGACCGAGTACGTCAGCATTTTGTGGACCAACTTTCTGTGTGAAGAAACCAGTCGGTTGGCGAATTGTACACGACTATCGTCAGTTGAATTTGGCGACGATTTTACCAGCTATCCCCATGCCTCGCAAGGAAGATACTTTTGATGCGATGGCCGGAAGTTATTGGTATTCGTGCATGGACTTGCTCTAGGGTTATTATCAAGTCAAGTTACGAGAAGCAGATATACCATTCACTGCTTTCTCGACCCCAGATGGTCTTTTTGAATATCTCGTCACACCCATGGGACTAAGTGGAAGTCCGGGAACCTTTAACAGGTTGTTACAGAAGAGTTTCAGGGATTTGAGTGACGTGGCGCGGATTTACTTCGATGATATCTACGTATACACGAAGGGTGAAGATGTCAGCGAGCATATTGCCGCGCTGGACAGAGTATTGAAGCGATGTGAAGAACAGAAACTTTACATAAAACTGTCCAAATGCCAATTTTGCGTGGATGAGATTCCATGCTTAGGCGATTTTGTCGGACGCAAGGGCGTTCGAATGGACCCAGATAAGGTGAAGATTATCACCGAGTGGCAAGTCCCAAAGTCCAAGAAGCAAATGGAAAGCTTTCTAGGGACAACGGTTTACGTTTCGAGATTGTGTAAGGATTTTGCGCAGTTCGCAGGTCCTTTGCATGAATGCATCAAGGGAAAACGTTCAAGATATGCGATCGAACTCGATGAGAACCAACTACGTTGTTTTGACGAGCTGAAAAAGCGCTTGTCATCACCTCCGGCTCTCAGTCTTCCTGATTTCTCCAAAACTTTTGGTATTCGAATGGACGCCTCAAATTTCGCAATTGGGGGAGTCTTATTTCAAAAGGAGGGAGAGTTGGAACATCCAATAGCCTTTACGGGCAGAAAGATGAAACCAGCAGAGTTGAACTACCCAGTTCGTGAACAGGAACTACTCGCTATTATGCATGCGTTGAAGACATGGCGCGTGTATCTTCTCGACAAGCCATTCCTGGTGGAAACAGATCACAAGAGCATTGAGTTGATTCTCACGCAGAAGACGACGAATCGACACATTGCGCGGTGGTTCAACGAACTCGCTGAGTTTCAGCCTCTGTTCAAGTGGCTTCCAGGAGAGACGAATGTAGTCCCAAATGCGATGTCGAGAAATCCTGAGTTCGAGCACAAGGCTGCACAAGTGAGTCTGAAGGAACTTCTTGATACAGCTCAAAACCGTGAAATTGTGGCAACCATGGTCGAGAATAATATGACCGTGGCACAGTCCGCAGTGAAAATGTACTCGTGGAACAAGGACTTGCAGGGAATTGTTAAGAAGCTTAAGCTAGGAGACAAGGTTCCGCATTACTCGCTAAATCATGATGTCCTGTATTATCAGGCACATGAGAATGAGACCCTAAACTATACATTCCAGATGACGAAGATCTGAAGAATCGAGTCATTTGTGAGAATCACGATGCAGTCACGGCAGGTCACCCAGGCTATTACAAGACCTATGTCGCAGTACGTGAGAAGTACTATTGGCCGAAGATGATGAAGTATATCCAGCGTTATTGTAACACGTGTGAAATGTGTCAGCGCAACAAGGCGAGGCAGACGAAACCTCCAGGATTACTTCAACCGCTGGGGATACCACGAGGTAGATGGGTCGACATTTCGATGGATTTCATTGTGTCTCTAGCTCCCAGCAAGGATGGCTATAATGCCATCATGGTCATCGTGGATCGATTGACCAAGCGTGCAAAGTTTATCGCAACGCAGACGACAGACAGCGCAGAGGATATTGCGAAGGTTTTCACGAAGAACTATGTAAAAGATCACGGCCTTCCGTAGACAATTGTGTCTGATCGTGACTCCAAATTTACGTCCAAGTTTTGGCAGGCTGTTATCACTGCTATGGGAACGCAACATAACCTGTCATCGGCATTTAGACCGCAGACGGATGGACAAACGGAACGTACAAACCGTTTTATCGGTGATTATCTCCGAGGAGTCGTTAACCCAGCCCAGAACGATTGGGATGAGTTTATTCATATGGCAGAGTT